TGGGGTACTCCACATCACTGCTTTGTGGCACTGTATGTGGGGAAGGGGTCTGAGAGGGAACACTGCCACTTACTTGGCTCTTGGGAGCCTTTTGGTCACTTCTTCTGCTACCCACAAGAAAATGGGGCCCCTCTAATGCTGATTCCTGGATGGGTGGGCTTGTGTACATTCTAGGACCCTCTGGGTCTCTCCAATGAACTCTTCTGTGAGGCTGGGAGTTTCTCTCTCTGCTGCAACCCCCACAGGTTTTATAATTCAGAGGTTTTGGTGCTTTATGTCCCCACGTTGGACTCCTGGGTTGTGTGGTCAATCTTGCTCCCCGGTTGTTCCTCCTAGTTTATCCACACACAGATGTGGGACTGCCTGCTCTGCCAGCTGCTGCCTTGTTGTGAGTCCTCTCTGCCCAGCTGCCTGTCTTTGCCTCTCTTACTGGTCTGGATGAATGTTTCTTCTTTAACTCCTTGGTTGTCAGACTTCCATACAGTTAGATTTTCTGACAGTTCTGGTTGTTTTTTATTTTTAAATTTGTTGTCATCCTTCTTGTGGTTTTGCGAGGAGGCAAAGTGTATCTACCTATGCTTCCATCTTGGCCGGAAGTGCAATAAAGTATTTTAAAATTAAGGTATGTACATTATTTTTAGACATAATGCTATTACACTTTTAATAGACTGCAGTATTGTGTGAACATAACTTTTATATGCACTGGGAAATCAAAAAATTCACCAGACTCACTTAATAGGATACTGGCTTTACTGAGGTAGTCTGGAACCAAACCTGCAGTACCTCCTAGATATGCCTGTATTTTATTTGATAACATCTTCTGAATACCTAGACACTGTACTATGTAAAAGATAGATAAAAAATACAGCTTTAGAAAAATGCTTTTCTAAAAGAATTTTTCAGTCATTCATGTATTCATTGAACAAACACACCTGACAGGCCTTAGACACATGACGGGCCTTGGGGAATCAGGGGGAACAAAGCCCACATGGTTCTTGCCCTTGTAGCAGGAACTTCCAATCTAGGAACAGGGACAAAAATGTTTTTTAAAGTAAATAAAATAATTACACTTTGGTTAAGTACTATAGAAACATAATGATGGGCCAGGAAAGGAAACAATAGGGAGTCCCTTTTCAGTGAGGGAACTTGGGTCTCTGAGACCTGAGGGAGCTGACCTCCCGAGGGCCAAGAAGAGTGTGGAGCTGAAAGCAAAAACAGCACAGGCAACGGCCGAGAACAGGGTGTAGAGAACAGAGTAGAGAACAGAGTAGAGAACAGGGTGTCTTCCAGGACCTGAGGAAGGCCAGGGTGGCTAGAGCTGGGCTCGGGAGGGGCCTGGGGCAGAACTTGAGGCGAGACTGGAAACAAGGTCAGGGCTGGGTCATGTAACACTTGGGTCAGGGTTGCAGTCTAGAGTTTGGATTTGTCCTAAGGACAATGGAAGCCTTTGGAGTGTTAAGCATATATGGTGTGGGGAGACAGGATGTAATTTAATTTTTAAGAGATCTCCAGTGAAATTCCATTGTTTTCATCTTTTAGATTGTTTGAAGAGAGAATGGTGTGATAACAAAGTATGTTAGGGTGAGCAGAAACAGGCCTTTTCATGATTGCTGGTGGCTTTGTAAATAGTTTCATTTCCATAGATAACAATTTGGCAGGATTCATCAACATAAAAAATGCATGTGTCCTCAGACCCAGCAATTCCATCTCTAGGAATTCACCTTGCACATGGCCTTGCCTGGGTGCGAAGTAAGCCCTGTTCAAGGACATCCAGTGTAGCCCGTGTGTATGGCATGAGGTTGGAAACAACCTCAGCGCCCACATGTGGGGGACTGGAAAAATACATCATGCTGCGTCTAAGCGGTGGAACAGTCCAGAAGAGAGGGGGTGATTGAAGGCAGAGGTTTGGAGACATGACGTTTAAGACACATGCAACTCAGAGGCAGCTGTGGCCTCTGGGAGAGGAAGCTTGGACTGAGGCCAGGGATGAGAGGGGCTCTGCCCTATGTACCCCGAATCCTCCAAAACATCTGTGAGTTTGTGATGCAATAAACAGGTATTAAAACTAACCTAGTAAATAAATAAATATCCAAAAAAGTATATAATTAGATGTCAGATACATAGTGTACATAAGGGCTAAAATCATAGATGCACAGGGTTGGCAGATTCCTAAGTCAGACTCTCTGGGTCAAGTCACCAAAGGAGCTGGCACCTTATTAGCTAAAGAGGATGTAGGGACCCCAGCATCTGTGGGGTGTGTCCAGGCCCCCAGGACGAGACCTGGGCCCAACTACCTCAGTATTCCCTGGCAGCTTCTCCCCAGGTGCCTTCTTCCTTTCTCTCTCTCTCTGGGGACCAGCTTCACCGTTTCTCTCCTATACTCATGAGGGGCCACCTGGCTCCTAACATACCACTGGGGAAGGGGGGTGGGGTTTCTTCTGGCTCAGGCCCTGCAGGGTGGGAGGGAGGGGGGTGTCCAGGCCTGGACCTTTGTAAAGGGACAGGGCCTTGGTCCATTGAAGTCTGTGTTGTCCAAGGGGTGACAAATCAGAGGAGAGCACTCACTTTAGGCCTGGGGCTATCTGGCCTACCTCAGCAGGAAAAGCTGCTAAATGTTCAGAAAGGTTTTCCAACAGCAGGACTGAGGGCTGTTGGGGTACAGCACTTAATCTGAAAATTCCTGAATAACCATCGCTTTGCCTATTCAGTGCCAGGTACTGTGTTGGCATTTAACACTCTGATTGATTCAACCCTCACAACAACCTATTGGGGAAACTAATGTTGTTCTAACTTTACAGATGGGAAAATGGGCTCCCGGAATGCTAAGTCCCTGGCCCAAGCTCAGACAGTTGGGAGCTGATTAAATCTCAGCTCTTGACTGCTGACACAGACCCTCCATGTGCAGCAGTCCTATCAGCTAGCCTTTGGGCACCGTGCCACGACAAAGCAGACAGCAGGCTGAGTGATCAAGACTGGGGCCCTGAAAAGATCGTGACTTGGGTTTATGTTTTCTTCTCTGGTGTGCAGGGCAAACTTCTTGGGCTGCACAGCCTCTGGGGCTCGGGCTCGGGCTCCTGGCAGATGTAACTACAGGTGTGTGACCCACTCCAGCCACTCATCTAAGCAATCGGCTCTGCTAGTGATTGAGGGGCTGGGGGCCTTGATCACAGTTAAGGGTCACTATCAGGGGAGATTTCTTGTGCTTGCTGTCTTGCTACATGTAGATGAAGAAACCTGTGGCCCTCACTACTGACCATGACCATGATAAGAATCAGCCTAGGAAGACGCTGAGGACAGTGTCTGCTGCCGAGGGGCAGTAGAAGCCTGTGCCCAGAGCCTGGCCACACCTGGCTGCCCTCTAAGCACCAACACTCCAAGGTGCTGAAGGGCCCTGCTGCTGACTGCAGCTTCAACTGCAGCTGTGACGGACTTCTGCTTTCCATGCCCATCTCTTCCCTGCTCTCTGCCTGCACTCCTGGAGGCCCAGACTGAAGCAAGGGTGACAGGGAGTTAATCCCAGAGCCTCCCTCAGCTGCTGGGGGGTGGGACTGGGGAATAAAGGCCTTAGGCCCTGGCCCTCCAGCTGTTCATTCCTGGAAGGCATTCTACACAAGACCAAGGGCTGAGCAGGAGGGAGCCCCAGCACCAACAGCAGCAACCTCTGTCACACCCCCGTATGTTGGTTCTTCCTGCCTTTGGGCTCAGGGTGGCCTCCTGAGAACACCTCCCAATGTACTTCTGCACCCTCAGACCTTGTAGCCCACCTGCCCTGCAGGTGAAGGCCAGTTTGATGGGACCATCCTGGCTCCTCCCACTCACATGATCCCACTTGGTCCATCCTCACGGAGTAGGGGGTGGGGGTGGGGAGCTTCCTTCCAAACACAGAAGACTTGCCCTGGGCACACCGGAGCACAAAGCCTCCATAGCACCCCTTTACTGCCCTGACCCCACCCCTGACCCCTTCTAGGGACCTTTGGCTCCTCAAGGGGGCTGCACATTCCCAGGCAGGCATCCCAAGTGCACCTCTGGGCCTCTGCTCAAGCCATTCCCTCCTCCCAGAAAGTTCTTCCTTCCACTGGATAGCAAAATTCCAATCACTTTTTAATGAATTGGATTCAAAAGTCACCTGGCCTCATCTGACATTCTAGAAGGGATCTTGGCTCTATCATCCCTTTGTTAAGAACAAAGTCCAGCCTGACACTGAATGATGTGCCTCACACTCAGCCTCTCACTTGACCCCTGGCAGGTGAGTTATGACCCTTGTCTCCATTTTACAAACAAACTGAGGCACAGAAGGCTTGACCCTTCAGCTTGCAGCTGGATTGGGGCCCAGGCCACCGGACTAACCTAAGGGGAAAAGGAATCTTGGAGGGTATCAGACAGCTCCCAGAGTTGACTGGCAGGCTGGAGAAACAATTCTCAGCTGCAGGCCTGTCCCTGGAGCTGTCTAGTGATGTCACCTCTGACACAGGCCCCTTATGAATGCTGTCCCAGCCCCAGCCACTGGGATCATGCTCCCAGCTCGCTGGTGTGAACCCATCGTAGGAAAGGAAAGGGGCAGCCCACCTTCCCCCAAATGACCAGTGACCTCTGTCCCCTCACACACATACACCCCAGGGTGGACACCAGCTTCTTGTCACCTTGTGTGTCTTGCTTATGTGGGTGTATGCTGGGCTCCTCCACAGAGACCATACCTGTGGGTCTCTGTGTCCACTGGGCACAGGCCAAATGCCCCACACCAAATGGGTCCTTGCCTCAGGAAAGGGCTCAGGAAAGAAATAGACCCCACCAAGGCAGGGCGTCAACTGGCACCCACAGATGGGTGCTCAGGGTTAAGCATTTTGTGCAAACATTATCAAACCTCATCTGGGTTTCTGGCTTTTCTAGGAAAAGGGGAAGGTCTATTGGAAAAGGTTAAACCTGCACTGCCCCTGCAATGCTGCCCCCAGCAGCTCCCTGCCCCTGCAGGGCCAGCCTCGCCCTCTGCCCTCTCAGCTCACGTTCATCATGTTGCCGATGTGGTTGTTGCCCAGCGACAGCACCTGCAGCTTGACCAGGGCATCCAGAGAGTCAATCTTGGAGATGCGGTTGTTGAATAAGCTCAAGTCCTCCAGGTTCACTAGGGTGTCCAGCCCCTCGATGGCCTCAATATTGTTGAAGGACAGGTCTAGAGGAAGAGGGCCATGAGGACTGAGTGATGGATTGGTGGGGGTGGGGTACCCTGAAACAAACCCATCAGGGCTACTTGTGCTCTATGAGCCAGTGCCAAGGTATTGGCCAGAGCTGACTCACTGTCTGACAGTTTATAGTTTTCTAGAAGCTGTGCGTGGATTCCTTCCTGTGGCCCCCAACTATCATCACCCTCTCCAGTTCTGCTACTCATCATCCTGGCTGGGGGCACCTGGGCAAATTCTCAGGACTATGCTCTGTGTTATTCTGAGCTGGAAGTGCTCTCTGGCAGGTCTTCAGCAGCTCCTCTTGGGGTGGGGGAGGCAGTGCCCCCTCCCTCACTCTTCTGGGCATTTCAGTGCTAACACCTCCCACCTGCACAGCACTTACCAGCTCATCAAGTGCTTGTGCGAACGTCCCCAGACAACAGCTGGTGGATTGGAATTTCTCTCCCTATTAGCTTGATTGGGAAGCTGAAGCTCAGAAAGGCTCAATGATTTATTTGAAGCCACACTGCTAATGCTGGTGGTGCTAGAGCTGATCCAGGGCTCCTCCCTGGACAGAGGGCAGGCCAGGTTCTTCAGGTTCATCCAGCTGAACCAGACTCAAACTTCCCCCCAAGCCTAAGCCCAAGCTCAAGTCCAACTGAGATGTCACGATCCTCTCTAGCCCAAGTTTCACATCTTTGAAAATAAAACTGATATTTCTCCACCACAGGTGTTTGGTTGGGGACAGGGCTGCAACCCTGTCCTGGAACTCCAATGGTCCAGAGGCCCAAATTGGGAATTTTTTATGAGCTTGGAAATATGATCATGATAGCTGCCAGCTGCCACATTAAAAAGGTGATTTGCAAAGTTAGTTTCTCCACATCTTAACTGAGCCTCCTTGGTATACCAGGGGGTACTTGCTTGTTGACAGCTGAGACTGGTGATGATTTACTGCCCCTTTCTCTGTGGTCACCCTAAATGCATTACTTCACTTAATTCTCATGGCACAGGGATCACCACCTACATTTTATGGAAGAGTGAACCAAGTTTAAAGGGCCATGGTGGTGCCCTGGCTGGTGTGGCTCAGTGGACTGAGCACCAGCCAGCCTGTGAACCAAAGGGTCATTGGTTGGATTCCCACTCAGGGCACATGCCTGGCTTGCTGGCCAGGTCCCCAGTAGGGGGTGGGTGAGAAGCAACCACACATTGATGTTTCTCTCCCTCCCTTCCCCTCTCTCTAAAAATAAAGAAATAAAATATTTTTTTAAAAAAGGGGCCTGGTGGTAATATGCCCAAGATATGCACACAGCACATAAAGAAACTGAGGTTTAGAGGGCTGAAATAACTCATGCAAAATGAGTTAGTACATTGTCAGAGCTGGGATAGAAACTGGGGTCTGCTAACTGCCAAGCCTACCCACCTCCTTTCCTGCCACAAGCCAGGCTGTGTTCTTTGAAGGCCTGGCCACACCCAGTAGAATCAATGCTGCAAGTGAATGTTTGACATTTGGGGGTATGGGGAGGGAAGCTCTGATTTGTCATGATTTGTTGTGCTTGCTGATATCTGTGGAATGATACTCCCACTATGGCCAATTTCAAGCTACCAACAAGACATCCCTGAATGTAAAGGGGGGGTGAGATGCGCACAATCAGCCTTCCAGAGCCAATACTAGCCAGCTCCAGCACACCCTCAGCCCTGGGGCAGCCAACCAGGGGGCCACCTACAGGGTATGCAGACAGTGGCTGTAAGCCCCATAGCCCAGCCCCTGCGTCCAGGGACCCAGCTCTCTCTTGCTGTCTGTGGGTGCCTGGACTACTAATGCTGGGGCTGGACGAAGGGTGCTTTCTGACTCTCCCAGGGGTGCAGGCTGACCTTTTGCTGGAAATTTCCCATTCTACTTTCTCATCCCTGTATCACAGAATGCTGGGCATCACAGAGCACCTCATAGGGACCCGTGGCACTGGTTTTTTATCCGATGGACAGCTGGGCCTAGGACTGGTAGCTCTGGTCTAAAAGCACAGCATGTAGACAGCCAGTGCTGGCAGGTCTTCCAGAGGGGGCACAGCTCAGGGTTTGGGTTGACCCAGCACCCTCTTCTCCTTCATCTCCTGGAGAGACATAACTTCTGGTGTGCACCTGGGCCACTTGGTGCGAGTGAGTGCTAGAGTGCCAGAAGTAGTGCTGGGGACTAGAGGCCTGGGCCTAGCAGACAGAAGCCCCAGCTGTGGTCAGCCGTTGCTGCCTGCAGCCTGCAATGCCAGCGAGCCCTCCAGCCTCTTGGCCTCAGCAGCCATGCCTGTGAAACTGCAGCATGACCCTGCCTGGGGGTTGCTGCAGCCACTGTCAGTGCTGCAGTATTGAAGACTATTTTGCAAACTGGGAGGCTCATCGCTGCTCCGGGCTGCTTGTTAGGGAAAAGCAGCTTCATAGGTTGCAGGGAACATGGCCTCTGGGATCAGACAGGCATGGGTTTGTATCCCAGCTCCACTACTTCCTGGACATGGAGCTATGACCAGGTGCCTTGGCCTCCCATGGCCCCACTTCCTCTTCTGCAGGTTGGGGCTATAACAGGTCTTTTAGGGTGGCTGTGAGAGCTGAACCCGATGAAGTTAGAAAGAGCTCTCCAGCTGGCCCCCTGTACCTCTCAGTGCCCACAGACCCTCACCAGATGTGATGTGGCCTCCTGAGTTCAGCAGGTGGAGCCCTGCAGTCCTAGGAGTGAGGGTCTAGCAGTGAGCGCTAGAGTCAGACAGAGCTGGGCCAAGAGTCTGATGCCCCTAGTACTTGCTGTGTCTTCAGTTTGCTCATCTCTACAATGGGGGTACTGTGTAGATTAAAACACCTCATGTGGAGTGCTGGCCTGTGTGGCTCCGTTGGTTGGAGTGTTTTCTTGTAAACTGAAAGGTGATGGGTTTGATTCCCAATCAGGGCACATGCCTGGATTGCAGGTTTGGTTCCCTTCAGGGCACGTGTGGTAGGCAGCCGATTGATGTTTCTCTCCTTCCTTTCCTCTCTCTATGAAATCAATAAACATGTCCTTGGGTGAGGATTTAAAAAAAAAATACCTCATGTGGAAAGCACACAGGCCCATGCTTAGCAGATAGAGCTGAGTGCAACAGGCGATCGTGATGATTATTTTTGGTGTGATCTGAGTCCCCATGACTGGTGGGACCCACAGTCACCTGTTGACCCAAGCCTAGAGAACAAGAAGGAACCCAAGGCTGCTCCTCTGACACCCTCCATCCCAAAATGGGAGGTTTGACAGGTGGGAGCAGAACATCCTGTCCTGGCGTGCCCAAGCACATTTGTGCTGTTTACCCAGCACAGCCTCCGGGCTCTTAAAAAGAGCAGTTTTCCTATTCCCTACAGACAGAGCTTCTGTTGTTCCCGGGCTTGTGGTGGGCCGGCAGTGGAGTATTGCCTGGGGAGACAACCTTGGCAAGCATCATCTTGGCAGGGTGATACCTTTATTCAGGGCAGACACACACATAAAGGGTCCTTACCCAGCCAGACCAGGTGTATGAGCTTCTCCAGGCCCTCGATCCTCTCAATGACATTATTGTCCAGCTGCAGTTTCCTCAAGTTCTCAAACTGCCAGAGGTTGTCAATTCGGAGGATGTCTACAATGATCAGAGGAGATGCCTCAGCTTCAGGTGCGAGTTTGGGGCCAGTGCACCAGAGGATCAAGGTGACCCATGCTACGCACACAAGGCACTACAATGCCGCTGCCCTGTGCTGGTGCAGGAGGGGCCCTGGAGATGTGGGTTGAGTGCTAAGGAGCTCTGAGCCCCTGTTAGTATGCAGTGGGTGCTGATGGGTGTCCAGGGCCACAGTAGGGCTGACAGGTCCTTGAGGGTCACAGGGAGGTCAGTAGGAAGGTGGGCTGGGTCTGCTCAGGTTATGGGACTCACTCATGCTGCCTCTAGGGTCAGGCTGGGGGGTTGCCCATGTAGCCAGAACAAGTTGGTGCAGGAGACGCAAGCAAAGGTCCTCTTTTTCCCTCTGCAGTGTGACAAAGGGAATCAAGGTTGCAGGGAGAATGCTTCCTTGTGTGCTGTTGGTGGGAGGATCAATCAATCAGTTCAGATATTTTAGAGGGCAATTTGGCCATGTTTACTGAAACAGTTACTGTCTCTGCCCTTTTACCCTGAAGTTTCTCTACTTGAAATTTGTCTGCAAAGACATACTTATGTATGTGTCCAAAGAAATACCTATAGGCACTTGAGGGGCAGGAAGACCGGGGGAGCCCCAAATGCCCACATATGGGGAGTAGGATAAACTGCCCACACAACAGAGAGGCAGGTTTCTCCTGTCCCTGAGGCACCTGATCCCATGATTCCTGAAGGCCACCTGCACACTCACCTAGCCAGTCCATTACCTATACCCTTCACACCAGGCATGTTGGCTTCTGTCACTGGCAGCCAGAGTTCTGAAAACACTTAAGTGTAAATAAGTATATTCTGTGCATGTAGGACTTCCGCCAAGATGGAGGCATAGGTGGAGACACCGTACCTTCTTACACAACCAAGTTTAGAGACAACTAAATATTAGCAACAGAAAACACAGCCAGAACACAGAAAATTGAACTTTTCAGAAGTCTGATAACAACAAATTCTTCAGCCTGACCGGTAAGGGGCGAAACCAGCAGCTGGCGGAGATGGGTAGCACAGGAAAACTCAGTCAGATGGACTCAGGCGCGCAGAATCCAGGCGCAGGGTTGGACCTAGTGAGAGACCAAGCGACTGCGGGGAAACAGCGAGGGAGCAGGGCTGCGGGTTGACTGTGTTCGCACATTTGTGCTCGGATAGACAAGCGAGGGAGTGGGCGATTGGACCGGGATCCAGCAGGTCCCCACGGCAAGTGGCAGTGGAGGGTGCCACCATTTCCCCGCTCTGACCCCACCTCCACATACAGCGTCACAACCCAGTAACCTGGAGTCCGAGGCTCGGCTCCTCACACTTAACGAGCGCGAACAGACCAAAAATGGCTCAAGAAGAACTCAAAGCCCCAGAGCCTATAAATCTAAGCAATGAAGAAATAGCAAAACTCTCAGATACACAGTTTAAAACACTGGTGATCAGGATCCTCACAGAACTGGTTGATTAGAGCCACAAACTAGACAAACATATGAAGGCAAAACTAATGGAAATGAATGGAATTGTACAGGAAACCAATAACGATGAAAAGGAAACTGGGACTCAAATCAATGGAGTGGACCAGAAGAAAGCAAATAATGGCCAAACAGAAAAGAGTGAAGAAACAAGAATTCAAAAAAATGAGGAGAGGCTTAGGAACCTCCAGGACATCTTTAAACACTCCAACATCCGAATTATAGGGGTACCAGAAGGGGGAAAGTAACAGCCACCAGCGGAAAACTTATTTGAACAAATAATAAAGGAGAACTTCCCCAATCTGGCAAAGGAAATAGACTTCCAGGAAATCCAGGAAGCTCAGAGAATACCAAAGAAGTTGGACCCAAGAAGGAACACACCAAGGCACATCATCATTACATCAGCCAAGATTAAAATGAAGGAGAGAGTCCTAGAAGCAGCAAGAGATAAGGGGACAGTCACCTACAAAGGAGTTCCCATCAGACTGTCAGCAGATTTCTCAAAAGAGACCTTACAGGCAAGAAGGGGCTGGAAAGAAGTATCCCGAGTCATGAAATCCAAAGACCTACAACCAAGATTGCTCTATCCAGCAAAACTTTCATTTAGAATGGAAGGACAGATAAGATGCTTCTCAGATAAGATCAAATTCAAGGAGTTCATCATCACCAAGCCCTTATTATATGAAATGTTAAAGGGACTTACCTAAGAAAAAGAAGTTAAAAAAACATGAACAGTGAAAGGACAGCAAACTCACAGTTATTAACAACCACACCTAAAACAAAAGCAAACTAAGAGGACAGCTAGATCAGGAGTGGAAACATAGAAATGAGACTTCCGCCAAGATGGAGGCGTAGGTGGAAGCACTGCGCCTTCTCACACAACCAAGTTTAAAAACAACAAAGTTTTAGCAACGAAAACGCAGCCAAACCACAGAAAATAGAACTACACGGAAGTCTGACAACAATGAACCCTTCAGCCCAACTGGTAAGAGGAGCAGAGCCAGCAGCAAAGCGGGGTCATGCAGGAAAGATCCACCGGACCAACCCGGGCGCACGACCCAGGTGCGCTGGCAGCCGTGGGCGGATCCCAGGTATGTAGTAGTGGGCAGACCCACTGAGGGCGGACCGTGGTCACACATTCACGCACAGATAAACCAGTGAAGGAACTATCGGTGGTGAGATGGAAGTGCAGGCCCCAGCGGGCCAGAAGCGGCAGAAGGAACTGCCATTGTCACTCTCTGACCCCACCCCCACATGTAGCATCATAAACCAGCGACCTGGGTGGCCCCGCCCTGGTGAACATCTAAGGCTCCGCTCCTCATACCTAACAGGCACGAACAGATCAAAACATAGCTCAAGAACAACTCAGAGCCCCAGAGCCGATAAATCTAAGCGATGAAGAAATAGCTAAGCTTTCAGATGCACAATTCAAAACACTGGTGATCAGGATGCTCACAGAACTGGTTGATTTTAGTCAGATTAGAGGAACATATGAAGGCTAAACTCATTGAAATGAAGGGAAATGCACAGGAAACCAATAGTAATGGAAAGGAAACTGGGACTCAAATCAAAGGAGTGGACCAGAAGGAGGAAGAAAATGACCAAACAGCAAAGGATGAAGAAACAAGAATTCAAAAAAATGAGGAGAGGCTTAGGAACCTTCAGGACACCTTGAAACGTTCCAACATTCGAATTATAGGGGTAGCAGAAGGGGAAGAGGAACAGCCACCAGTGGAAAACTTATTTGAACAAATAATAAAGGAGAATTTCCACAATCTGGCAAAGGAAATAGACTTCCAGGAAATCCAGGAAGCTCAGACAGTCCCAAAGAAGTTGGACCCAAGAAGGAACACACCAAGGCACATCATCATTATATTAGCCAAGATTAAAATGAAAGAGAAAATCCTACAAGCAGCAAGAGATAAGGGGACAGTCACCTACAAAGGAGTTCCCATCAGACTGTCAGCTGATTTCTGAGAAGAGACCTTACAGGCAAGAAGGGGCTGGAAAGAGGTATTCCAAGTCATGAAATCCAAAGACCTACATCCAAGATTGCTCTATCCAGCAAAGCTTTCATTTAGAATGGAAGGGCAGATAAAGTGCTTCTCAGCTAAGATCAAATTCAAGAAGTTCATCATCACCAAGCCCTTATTATATGAAATGTTAAAGGGACTTCTCTAAGAAAAAGAAGATAAAAAAAGATGAACAATGAAAGGACAGCAAACTCACAGTTATTAACAACCACACCTAAAACAAAAGCAAACTAAGAGGACAGCTAGATCAGAAGCAGAACCATGGAAATGAAGATCACATGGAGGGTTAGCAACAGGAGAGTGGTAGAAGGAGAAGGGATGAGAAGATACAGAAAATAAGTAGCATAGATGGTAGGTAGAAAATAGATAGGGGGGAGGGCAAGAATAGTATGGGAAATACAGAATCTAAAGAATTTGAGACACATGGTCATAAACTAAAGGGGGAATGGTGGGGGAGGGGGTGTGCAGGGTGGAGGGGAATGAAGGGGGGAATAGAACTGTAATGGCATAATTAATAAAATATATTTTAAAAAACAAGTAAAAAGAAATGTAAAAAAAAAGAAACATAGAAATGAAGATCTCAAGGAGGGTTATCAACAGGGGAATAGGAGGAGGAGAAGGGGGGAGAAGGTACAGAAAATAAGTAGCATAGACAGTAGATAGAAAATAGATGGGGGGGCAAGAATAGTATGGGAAATATAGAATCTAAAGAACTTGAGACATGTGGTCATAAACTAAAGAAGGGGGTAATGGTGGGGACGGGGGGTAGGGTGGAGGGGAATGAAGGGGGGGAATAGAACAACTGTAATGGCATAATCAATAAAAAAATAAATTAAAAACAAAACAAAACAAAACAAAAAGTATATTCTGTGCATGTAAAATTTGGGAGGCCTAAACTTGTCCCCAGGTTTTTCCAGAAGCTACAAATAACTCTGTTGCTTATATGCCTCTTTTTTCTGTATGTGCTTTTGTAATAATTTCTAAAACTTAGAATATGCTCATTATATCAATACATAACTGAAAAGGAAAAAAAGATGCTCTTACTAACTGACATTCAGGCGGCAGGTGGCAGTGTCAATATTCATTCAGAGGGACAGAGTTTGCCCTGAGGTTGTGAGGCCCCTCTGGTGGCCCCCTTCAAGTCAGCCCTCCCTGTGGTGGGCAGCTGACCGAGGACAGTTTCTCTGATCCAGCAGGCCCCACCTCTCCTGGGGTCCCAGGGCCAGGCAGGACTGGGGTCTGTTCTCTGGCTCTCTGGAACCAGATTTTCCAGAATGATTTCAGCTACCATCCCTACTTGTGCTTCTGGGTGGGGGCCCTGTTCCACCTCAGCATGTTGGCTGCCTCCAATCCCGGTCTGGATTTCCCAGGCACCTTCTGTGGCCCCGGCCTTAGACTAACAGCCTGTGGGTGTGGCTGACTTCCTGCCAGTACCACTCCCCTTGGTGGCTCCCACACTCTTGGGTGCTCTGCACACCGGCATGTTGGCTTTTCCCTATATACCAGCACTTCTTGAGGAAAAGCCAAAACAACACAATGAAACCCAATGTATCTGGCAGTTAGCTCTAAATGAGTTACCAACATGATAGGACTGCCCAAAAAGCCAATTTGATCTGCAACATGGACATGGAACCATCCCCTACTGCCACCCTCCTGGTCCTGGGCCACAGAGGTGGCAGTCTCCCCAGACTCCCTGCTCCAGCTTGTGGTCCCCACAATCATCCCCTGCAGCCAGGCAGATCCTGTGAAAACCTAAATCCCACCCTGTCCCTGCTGTGCTCAGGACCCTCGTAGGGCCCTACCTCAGTCCCTATACAAACCAACCCCCACAAACCCCAGAGCAGATGCTGACTGACCCACTGCCTCTTGGTCCTGTCCCCACACAAACCTGAGCCTCAGGGTTTTTGCACTGGCCCTGTCTCCCCTGCAACTCTTCCCTGGACCTCCACATGGCCCCTCCCCTTACCTCCTTCCAGTCTTTGCTCTGGTGTCATCTTCTTGGTGAGGCCTCTGATCTCCCCATAAAACCCTGGACCCTACCACCAGTCCCCCCTCCTCTCCTTACTTTATTTTTCTCTATTGCACATATTACCTTTAGCATACACTATTATTTTCCTTCATTTTATTTTATTTGTGTTCCTCACTTGAATGTCAGCTCCATGAGGACAGGGTTTTTTGTCTTTTTTTGTTCACAATTGACTCCCTAGTACTTAGAATAGCACCTGGTATATAACAGGCACTTGATAAATACTGGCTGAATGGACCTTAGGTTGGGGAGGGGAAGCAAATGGAGGGTGGTCAATGCTAAAGCCCCCTCTGATGAAGGCCCTTCTGCCACCCTCTAACCCTTTCACCACTGAGGCTCAGGGGCCCTCAGTGCTCTGAATGGCCAGTGGGCTCCTGCAGAGCTGAGGGCGGCCCTGGGGGCCATACTCTGGTGAGGCCCATGGGCATCGTGAGGCTGGGGCCAGGGCCTTGCCCAATCCTGGGACCCCAGGATCGGGCACAGACCGGCGGAGGCAGGGCCTCAGGGAGGACAAAGAGAGTAAAGGGGATCAACTCCTATGTGGTGACAGAAGGAGATGAGACTCTGGGTGGTGAATGCACAATGGAGTACACAAATGTTGTGTTATGTAGTTGTACACCTGAAATTTATACAATGTAATTAACCAATGTTGCCCTGATATATTTAATTTTTTAAAAAGGGAAGCAATCCCTCACCAAAACCAGACAAAAAAAAAAAAAAAAGAAAGAAAAGAATCCTTGTTATTGAATGGATGCCTTCAGGCCAGCACTGGCACCTAGGAGGGAGCGGCCACAGCACAGTACATGAGGGGCTGAGGGCCCCTCTGGCTCCCTCTTGCACCCCTCGCCAGCCTTTTTCAGTGAACACTAAACTGCGCACACATTTTCCTACCTTGTCTTCCCAGCTGCACTTGGCCTAGGGCTGTGATCACCCTGTTTTGCAGATTCAGATGCTGAGGCATGAGGAGCTACCTGGTCCCCAGCCACATCTTCCTACCAGGCACCCACACCCTCGAGGCCCCACCCACTCCTGTTTCCTGCCCCTCCTGCAAAGCCCTCTCCCAGGGGGCTGCCTCCTCCTCCCCACAGCTCCTGCCTGCAGGTTTGGAGCCACCTTCCTGGGTTCCTCCTGTCAGAGGCCCTACTCCAAGGACCCTAAGGCCTTTGTGGTTGACTTAGATTTGGGGTGGGAGAATTTTATCATTTTACACAGACTTTGCGTGAAATTCTGGGTTTCTCCACTCCATTCTGGAATGGAGAAAGCTAGGGCACCCTGCCTGGTGCCCCTGACCCCTGGATACGCACTCTGGAAGTCCAGCTGTAGGGAGAGGACGTCCTTGAAGAGGATGCCCTCCTGCCTGGCCAGCAGCCCGGCCTCTTCCTGTGGGCCCTGCTCCCCGACAGCCAGCTTCAGCATGTCATCGTCCATCACTCTCGGCTCCAATGAGTTGTAGAGCCAGTTCATCTTCCCTGAAAAACATCACATTCCTGTTCCAGAGTCTACCTCTCCCTTTGTTTGAGGAAAGTGGCTGGTGGGCATCCTTTCAAGGGGAGCACTGTGTGAGCCACTGCATCTAGGGGTTAGTGCCGCACATTTGCACATTTGCTGTCCTAGGGCTTCCCCTGGCAGGCATGTGCGCCCAATCCTACCTGATGCCCCACAGCCACAGCTGGGACCCTACCCCAGACAAGGATCCCTGAGCCTCTCGAGCTCAGTTTCCCTTACAATCATGGTCACTTGGGCCTTTGACTTCCTGTGCCCACCCTTGTTCAGGTTTCTTGGCACTGACCACTGAATATGATCCTTGGTGGGCCCAGTGAGGCATACCAGCCTACGACTGCCTTCTCTGAGAGCTTTGTCCCTTCCAGACAGTGATGTCTAATTTCCTGCCCCCACCACTCACCATAAGTTTGCCCAGGGTACAGGTGGAAACTGACCCAAGCTGGTCATTCATGTTCTCCCCCTGAGGAACATGCACTTGGGGCCTCAGGGTAAGAGAGCCCATCAGAGTTGGCTGCTTGATCTGAGGAGGAATTGGGGGGGGAGGGCAGATGGACAGAGAGAAGCAGAGATGGGGACCTGGGTGATCCAGGGGAAAAAAAGACAAAAGGACAGACAGACTGATGCATACAGAAGCTGCCTTCTTGCTGGCATTCCAGCCTCTAATGTCCCTACTTTCAGGCCCTGTGAGGGTTTCTATGGTCCTTTCTATGAAAGGAAAGGATGTACAAGAGGTAAAAGTACTTCCCATAGAAGTCGGGATCCTTCCTGACTTCTAGCATTAAATCCTCTTTTACTTAAACAAACTCCAGTAAGTTTCTGCTGCCCATGGTCCAAAGGAACTCTACTGAGATGCCTCAGGAAAAGCAGATACAGGCAGTCACCCTGTGAGGCTAACCTGGGCCACTGTTCCTGCCTTGGCAGAGCTGCAGCCCTGGGAAGCCAGGTACCCGACCTCCTTCTCATCACCTCCCTTCTCCAGGGAGGACACTCAGAAGGGCTGGGCCTGCAGAAAGGCATACTCTATGTCAGTCCACTGGAAACTCCCAGATTCTGCTCCTGAAGCCCCTGGAAACTCAGTTCTCCCACTTTCCACCTCTGATGCTCACCAACCCGCTGACTTCACCTTCTATCTTGGTCCACACGCGTCCCCAACATCTGAGCTTCCACGAACTTCCTGTTCTCCCATCTCTGCTAGTCCCGGACACTGGGCAGCCCCTGTACTCTGCCCTTTATCCACCGAGTGATACTTGGAGAGACTTTCTGATGGTGGGTTGATGGTGTCCACCACAAAACCAGATGGGCCTGGCAATCCTGCCACCTGGTCTTGGAGACCACCACTGCCTAGCTGCCCTCCCTCTCTCTTCCCCCACCATCTACTTGAATGAAGCTTATGTAAATATGCACCTTCCATTTCTAGACTGTGCATGTTCAAACATCCCAGTGCTTTTACCTCTTGTGCATCCTTTCCTTTGATCCTCAGAGGAGGCATAGCCTCCCTAACCCCAACCCCTTCCCTGGGATCCTTCCCCCAAGCCAATCTCTGCCTGCATCTCCAACTTCCCATTCTCTCAACCTGTCACACTGGCTCCATCTCCTTCGGGTGACTGATCTACTCCTGCCCCTGAAAGATGCTTCCAGTTCTCTGTCTCTCTCTATCTACCCACTCTTCTGAAACAAATTTTTTTCTAAAATTTCCCTTAACTTGACACTAAGCTGCCTTTGGGGGAATTTTAATGTGCTCTCTTTGGCAGACGTTACCTGCAAAGTGTTTGTGCTTTTTCAAAGAAAGGTGCTGTCATTTGGGAAATGATTCTTAATTCTGATTTTAAAACTTAAACTGACTTATTATCCCTCCCACATCAATGACTGGTACCTTAAGATATCAAGGTGGCTTTCAGTCAAGCCCAGCAGTCCCAATGTGGAATAGCTATTATGCACCTGAGGGCAGGATTTGGATCCTGACTGTCTGTCCTTTGGTATCTCACCTCACCTGTCTAAGCCTTGAATTTCCCATCTATAAAAGATGAGTAATTCTTCCTGCCTACAATTGTTTAAGATCTTTTATTTAGTCCACACACGTAATGAATAACTACTACATGTTATGACTACAACAGACATATCTCCTTACCTTTGTTTCAGGATGAATCAGATAATCATACAAATATTTAATCACAAACCAGGACAGATCTGTACGTATAGGGAGCTATGACAGCCTATATCAGGGGTACCTGGCCTGGCCAGGGGAAACAGGCTGTGATCTGAAGGAGAATCAGAAAAGATGGAAGAGGGTACTGCACAGTGAGGGCCCTGATGTAGGACAGAGCAAGACATGCTCTACTTTGGCTGGAGTAACGCAAGTCTGGAGAGCCTACAGGAGTTCTGTTATTATCCTAGGATTCCTGGGAAGTTCCTGGGGTTTCATAGGGACAGTGACATGATAAGATTTTAATTTTAAGGAGTTAGTTCTGGCTGTCCTACAAAGAATAGCAAGAGTCATGGGGTGAAAGATGACCAAGGTGGTGGTGAAATGTGGATTTGAGAGATATCTATGAACTTAACTTATATGTAGGACTACTCCTTCACAGTCTTCAGATAAGAAAATGGAAACTATTTAGAAGGATTAAGTAACCTGCCCAAGTTTATACATCTGGTTACAGGGGTGTCAAACTCATTTTCACTGGGGGCCACATTGGCTTTGCGGTTGCCTTCAAAGGGTCGAACGTAATTTTAGGACTGTGTAAATGTAACTACTCCGTAACAGTTAAGCGAGAGCTTGGTGCTGCTCCTAGGTAGAGACAAGGTTCCAGGCAGATAAAACAAGGTGGAGGGCTGCATTCGGCCCACGAGCCTTGTGTTTGCCACCTATGTCCTAGTATGTAATAAAGCAGGAAAACATGACTCCAGAGCCATTTCTTTAATCGTGACCCAGCTGTGCCCAGGGCACTACAGACCATCACTGGCCCAGTGCATGATGTTTCTCACAGCTGTTCTGGGTTAGTGCCAAGGCCGAACACTTCTTCCCTAGGGGATTTTATCAGTAATTTACCACCCAACCTGGGTTCCTTTTGACTTGCCTGTTGATAGTTTTGCTGGTGAAGACTACAGGTAGGAAGTGGGGAATGTGCCACCATCAGCGGAGTAGCCCCTCACGGAGAAACAGATCCAGGATTGTCCCAGGAAACAACAATCTGGGATCAACTGGATCTGAAAAATATAGCCCCCATTGTCCATTAATTATTAATCAACAGTCTACTAAATGCTAATTGTGTACCAAGTGCACATGTGTTATTTAATGATGTGTTAGCTCTGGAGGCCATTAGAGAAGAGATTCCTAAAGGGAAGAAAATTGTCTAATACAAGAAGCAATTGACAAAAAACAGACATGGAACTCGGATCCATATTCCCAGCCACAGCACTTTAAATTGCACCAAGATGAAGAATAAAAATAAGATAAATAATTTAATGACAATTAAGATGTCAGTTAAATTCTTGAAGCTATCAGTGGATCTTTCTTTGCAGTAACCTTTTAATAGAAAGATCTTATTTATTCATTTTTAGAGAGGGGGGAAGGGAGGAACAAAGGGAGAGAAACATGTATGAGTGGGAATTGAACGTTCAGTTTTCCAGTTCTCAGGCCAGCACTCAATCCACTGAGCCACACCAGCCAGGCCTCTGGTACTTTTTTTAAAAAAAGGGATCAGGCCAGAAGCCTGGGGGGGGGGGTCGAATCTCTAAAAAATCTCTTTGGGCATTGACTCCTGAGGAAATGGTTCTTTAGCATTTCTTTCTCATCCACAGGCCTGAAAGCCCAGACTAGTGTTTTGACCGTCTCAGCGTGTCTCAAAGTGGCTGGCAAAGGACCTGTGTGCTCATTTTACAAGTGAGAAGGGCTGGGTCAGATTCCTTGGAGAAGAAAGTCAGATAAGAGTTAAGTCGGGCGCTGTCTGTCCCTGCTAGTCCCCCCAGAGTTTCAGCTCGAGCCTCACCTTTTCAAGCGCAGGCTATCGGGTTGGTTAGCGCAGTAGAAGCGTCGCTCAGTTGCTAGGGGAACCAGGAAGCGCCACTCAGTTGCTAAGGGGAAGTTAAAAGGTTGACAGCTCAGGGGAAAGATGATAAGTCACGTGACAAAATTTCTGGGTGGGGAAATACTCCTACCACCAACCAGCGGTAGAGAAAACAAACATTTCTCCAATCAGTACTTTTTATGGGCGGGGATTCTTCTAGCCACTCTTCTTTCTCCCCGCCCCTATTTGAGTGATTGACTCGTCTGTTCTCCAATAACCGTAATGATTCTAGATTGACCAATATATAGATGAATTAAAATACACAGGCTCGTTCGGAGGCGGGCCTTGTGAGCTGCCGCTACGCTAGACGGAATTTCTGTGACTTAGCTTGCCCCACTGCCCAATGGGACGCCGTGGGGTAGGTGGGGCTTCGCTGAGGGAGTGCAGGGACCAATCGGAGGAAAACCGGACAGGCGTGGCCCAATAGGGGTGCGACAAGAGCGGGATCGGTGCCCAGTGTTCCTGAAGGTGGGGCGGGCGCAACTGTACGTCAGGTCCCGAGCGCCAAGGAAGACCGCGGAGATTCCCGACAGCTGAGAGGGTATCCCGGCTGCTGCCGTGTTGTCCGTCCACGATGGAGTTCCTCCTGGGGAACCCGTTCAGCACACCGGTGGGGCAGTGCCTCGGTAGGGCCGCGCGAAGGATGTGCGTCTGGTTGGGCGACGGCAGCGGCTGATGTGGGTTGGGACCGCAGGCCTCTGCGGGTCACCGGTGCCACCTCTCGGGTGGGCCGGGCATCCTGTCGCCGGGCCTCTGTCCACTGGCAGACTGGCCTACTGGGCCTGCTCACGACGCCAGCGCCATTCTGCCAGGCGGCGCCCGAGGCCCAGCCTGGACTTGGAGATCCGCCGCGCGTCCCTACCCATCAGGGCCCAGCCCTTCCTAGCACTTTAGAGGTGGTGCCTGCAGTTGGTTGGCTCTTGGGTGATGCCACTGCGTGCGTCCTTAACCAGCCTGCTGCCGCTGCTATCAGGACCCAGTTTCTCCGCATTGTTTCCTTCACCCCTGTCCCTGCTTTTCAGTTCCAGCAGCTCTCAGATGGGCACCCTCCCAGGGAATGCGACCTGTTCTAAGACTTGCTAATTAGATCTGCCACTCTGCGAGGGTGTATGAGGGTTGGGGGAGGGGGGAGGGGTTCCTAGAGGATGATTACCTGGGCGGGGGGGCGGGGTGGAGGAGGCGGGCGTGGCCTGGCTGCAGTTCTGCTAGGAAATGAGGGAGGCCGAGTTATTTACTATTAAGAGCCTGGACTGGGAATCTGGAAGCCTGGGCTCCAAGCGGGATTTTGCTAGTAACTTTCGCTATGACCTTGTGCAAGTCACTACTCTTTCTGATTTGACGTTTTCCCTGTCTGACAGATGAGGTGTTTGGAAGTAAGATGTGGTAGATTCCTTCAAATTTCAAAGTTTTGGTATTCCTAGTAGTACATTGCTGCCTAGTAGTACATCTCTGCACATTGCTGCTTTCCTGCAATATTAAATTTGCCAAAGTTGAAATGTTCTAGTGGCAATGTAGAAAAAGGGGTACTCAGCAGTACTTGTTAATCCTGTAGAGGGGGTCTGGGCACCTGGAAGAGGGCACCAGGGGTGACCAGTATCCTGGGTAAGGAGAGCCAAGGCTAAGGGAAGGAATATCAGAGTGGCCACGGTATGGGATTTCCTCATTAGAAAAGTGGCTTGCTTTTCAACTACGGTAGGAGCCAAGTGATCCGTTAAGAGTGGTGGTTAGTTTCTTTTAAAACTGAGTTGCTGCACTGGCTGGTGTGGCTTAGTGGGTTCAGTGCCAGACTGTGAACCAAAAGGTCACTGGTTTGATTCCCAGTCAGGGCACGTGCCTGGGTTGTGGGCCAGGTCCCTGGATGAGGGTGTGTGAGAGGCAACTGATCAATGTATCTCTCACACTAGATGTTTCTCTCCACTCTTTCTACCTCCCTTCTTCCCCTCTCTCTAAAAATAAATAAGGTGTAAAAAATTGTTTTGAAAACTGAGTTCCGGGTTGGTGGAAGGACTGGTAAAATATCTTTTATGAGCAAGAGACCTTTGGAGTCCTTATGGACATAGCTGGTTCAGGCAGTAGTGATTTGTTTATTTTCTGCTCTGCTGAACTTTCAGCTTACTTTTCAGCCTTTAGTGGGGCCTGTGAAATCATTGAGGTTGCTCCCCTTGGCTACTTGGCATTTGGGAATCTTTTTTCTTTTTGACAAGGAATGATGGACACTGGGTGTTGGAAGAATGTTTTCCCACCTTTGCACACTGCTGTGTCCCTGGATTCCCACCCCTCTTTATTCCTCACTTCCTTTCCTCAGCTGCTCTTTCACTGCAGCCACATTCCAGCAACTCGTTTCTCAGTTGAGTGTTGAATTCCAACCAGTTATTGGAGGGAGACAGTAAGCTTGGAGTGGTATGGAATTCTTATTCTTTTCTACTTCCTTTACAATAGGGAGCTCTACACCTCTTTTTTTCCCCAACTTTTCAACAGCTTTTATTTATTTATTTTTGGAGGGGTAAGGAGAGAAACATCAGTGTGTGGTTGCCTCTCACACATTGCATACTGGGAACCTGGCCCTCAGCCCAGGCATGTGCTCTGACTGGGAATTGAACTGGCCACCTTTTGGCTCACAGGCTGGCACTCAGTCCACTTTGTACACCTTTGAAATGCCAAGGTAGTTGTGGGGTAGAACTTAAAGGGGATTTAAAAATATGCAAATATAAGGAATATAGAGATATATGGAATGGAAAGAGGTCATATGCTTATGTAGGGAAGACCTGGCTTTTGAGTTTTGCCTTGCCCATTTGTTGGCTGTGGGACCCCAGAAAATAATGTGACCCTTTTGAGCCTTAGTTTGCTGAGAGACAGAAATAGAGATAGAAATAGATAGAGTTGTGCTCATAGAACAATGAGGTTTAAGTGAGCTGATGGATGTAAAACACACAGTATATTGCCTGGAACATAGGAGAGGGTCAATAAATTGTAGCTGCCACTGTTAATAACAGAACAATTAAGTCAGGATTGAATTTTTCTATCTGGAGAGGATATGTAGGACAGTTGGCCCATCTGTGACCTGTAAAGGAAAATACCCTTGCAGGCCGTGGTGTCTACCAGCACTTAGAAACAACACTTGACCGCAAAGAGAATGAAGCCTCCTCATTGCTAGCTTAGTTGACTGGTGATGCCTGTGTAATTTCACAGTTCAGTTCAGTTCTAATGTATATTCTGTACTGTTGTGACATAGTGTGAAAGTTATTTTCATGATGTTTAGTATTGTTAGTATTCTGTTAAAAGTGTGTGCCAGGAGGCTGAGGGGAGGGAAGGGAATACAGAAATGAAGTAACAGCAGTAGCTACAGCTTCACAGAGCAGTTCTACAGCCATTATTTCCTCCTTGCAGCTGCTTTGTGAAGAAGGTATCTGTTAGGTTGGAGTTGCTCAAGAAACTGGTAGGATGCAGCGAGCTAAAAAGAGCAGGGTTTATTAGCGGGGAATAAGAGGGAGAGTGAAGCCAACTGAGGAAGGTTGGAAAGCCAACCAAGGGATATTAGGGGAAAGTGGAGCCAACCAAGGGAGGTGAGGACTCACTTGGTTGTTCTTAGATCAAGGTTTTTCAATGTGAAAACCTGTGGTTGGGTTATTAGGGTCTGATTGGCTAGAGCTGGTTGTTGGGTGAAAGCTGCATTCTGTTATGCCGGAGAAGACAACCCCAGACCCTAATCTTCCTAGGTAGGGTCTGCAGGTAGCTTCCCACGGTGCCATTTTCTTGCCTGGTGATTTTCATTCCTCTTAGGCCTGCCTAGATTTAACAGTATCCTATCTTTCACATTAGTGTTGAGAACACTGAGGCTCCAAGGAATGGAGGGACTGCTCAGCCAGTCAGAGGGAGAGCTGGGATTCCACAGCTGCCCTTGTCACCAAGGGATTTATGGAGAGAGGACAGAGATGCATGGGACAATGATGACTAAAAGAAGGTCACTCCATAGCTAAGTGCTCAATTGAGTAGTGGGTCTTGTTGGTGCTGTTCAGAGTCCAAAAGAATTCAGAAGAGCCGGGACAATGGGACTGGTTTTTTTGAGTCTGAAGCCTGACTATGAGAATAGGTGGGAGTTCCAGAGGCAGATAAGAGGGTACCCTGTGCCTGGAGACAGGTACATGGGGTGGACCAGCGGGCCTCTGTGAGCACCAATCTCAGTGGTACAGAGCTGGCTGTGGGCAGGAGTCACAACTAGGGTAAGGGCGCAGTATGAAGCCCCGTTCTAGGTGCATGACATCAAAGACTATGTTTTTTAGCTGATTTCAACTTTTAGTCTCTCTGGACCTCATTTTCCTCACTCATAAAAAAAAAAATACCTCGCAATGGCCGCATGGGGCTTGTACCTAAATAATTTCATCAGTCCCATCCAGTGGGCTATTCGAGTACCTGTTGGGTGCCAGGCTCTGGGATAGAAATATTGAAATGCTGCTCTTAGGGATCCTTCAGTACAGATAATATGCCCACCAAAGGTGTTCTGGAGCTGCAAAGCATCAGGATCATAGTAGGAGGGGTTAGTAATGATCTCTGGCTCGTGCCTGGGCCTCATATGGATATCCTGACCTGGTGCTATTTGGTGGAACATATAGTTTGCCCATTTTGACTACAGGCAGCTAAGCTCACATGCTGAAATGCAGTCTGAATTTCTTGCATCCAGCCTGCTCTTCATTCTGGAAGGTGGTTTCTGAGGCGCATGTGGGCTTCAGAGAGAGCACTAGCAGTGGTATAAGAGAGTAAGTATGGAGAAAGAAAAAGTACTTTTATTTCTGGATTGTCTGTTTTGAAACAAGTTTCAAAATGTGACTGTCTTTGTCTCAACTGTCTACGACCGACCTGGGAGCTGGATGTTTGCTGGAGGTGGATGTTATATATCAGGAATTCCCTTAGTCAGGGCCATGGTGCTCTGCAAAGTGAACAGGTGTTCTTGTGGTGGCTATAAGACGTTTTTAGGTAACCCTTTTCCAGGAGTAAAGTTTGGATTCATTTACATTAAAAGATCAGTGAATAGTTAGTTAATTCTGACCAGAATATTTGGGCGGTGGGAGAAGGACCATCTATTGTCTTCACAGTTCTGCTTCAGTGAACATGGAAGGAGATACCATGCTATGGTTTGTTTTGAGATTAGATGGGGCAATGATGGGACTGGAAGTGGACATAAACCACTAGTGCCTGTGAAAGCTAGGTCTTTGATGCCAGCATGGCTGTCTGTACCAAGAATGACTAGTCCTTGCTCAGGTTTGAGAGGCACAGGAAGAAAACCGAAAGAAACTTATTAAGCACCTACTATATTCCACCTCTGCACATAGGAGCTCATTTAATCCTTATAACACTTAATTATTTGAGTGCTTTTGTCCCTCTGTTGCTTATAAGGAAGTTAAGAGGATAAGAGACTTGTGCAAAGTCAGTGGCAGAGTTAAGCCGGAATCCACTCCAGATCTAGTGCTCATTCCGTGCTTCCACGTTGCTTTTGGCTCTACCGATCCCATGATTCAGGGTCATGAGAATCACCTGGAGGGCTTGTTAAACCAGATTGCTGGGCACCACTCTCAGTTCCGATCCAGTAGGTACGGGTTGGGGCTTAGCATTCTGCATTTCTAACAAGTTC